AAAAAAAAAAAAAAAAAAAAACGGAAAAGACAGGAGAAAAACAGGGGGCACAAGAGGGCGGGGGGGGGGGGGGGTTCCGCTAAACCAGAAGCAGCAGCACATTACTTCAACCTGACTCTTCAACCTGACTCCTCAGTGTCTATGTAGATTGGGGACTTCAATGGGGCTTTTTGGGGCTTTTAGCTAAGGTTGATTCAATCAGTTATTAGATAGAAGTGCCAAAAAACCCCCACTAAAGCACCCAATCTCTACAGTTGTTGGGAAAACTGGATGCAACTAAGGTGCTGCCTCTTCTGGCCATGTGCTGGGCTGAATTCAGGAGCGCACTGAATTTCCCCATGTCTCCGAGCAGTAAAGATGCCTAGGAAAGCTGAAGTTTTTTCGCAAGAAAGCTGGATAGGCATCCAGGCTTAGGAAAGGCCTTAGGAACAGCAAATCCTGCATTTGTTCAGGAGACTCAACTGGATGAACCTTAACTCTCTTCCAAAAACATAATTCTATGACTAAGAAACGCAGATCTCTAAAAAATTTCAAAGAACTTCAGAACAACCACACCATTCAAAAGTCAAATCATTCAAACATGCTCTTTGTTATCAAAAATGCAAAAAAGGAAACAAAAAAAATCTAGAAAGTAATATAAAAATTGTTATTCAACCGATTAATATGTAGCAAGATAGCATCAATGGATTTAAATTAAAAAAGATAAATAGAAGGCACAATAGACAGCTCCTAGACTGGAAGCAATGATTTATTTAACATTCTCTCAGAACAAATACGTTCAAGAAATTTTGGAAGAGGATAGGGAAAACTTCAGCAGAAATCTGTTTCAAACATAGCCTGCATGTTACCGCTCTGATTTTGATTACAGCAAACCCAGAATAAAATGATCTTTTATAGTAAGCAGATGTTAAAGGCAAGCTGACAAAATGTTAGAATGAAGCAGAAATGTGTCTTGTATTAGCTATTGTATTATGAAACAAAAAAGGTGCAAGTGATCTCTCATATGTTCAATAGCAGATTAACACTCAGGTAAACAAGAGAAAATGATTTCTCAAACTACTTTTTGATATGCATATAGAACAAAAGAAGAAATAGTGACTCAAGTCCACCATACTCTTATAGTAGAGTAATTAAGTAAATGACAAAGGATCATTAACATGTGTTTTAGTTTGAATTTAGACATTTACAAAATTTATTAAATAATGCATAGTTTGTTTACTGTAAGGATAAAGACAGATCTATATACTTTCACAATAAGTGTTGTGTTGCATTATGTTGCATTGCACAGATATAGGCCATGGAACCTATGGATTTTTAGGCAGAATAGTAAAGCCAACCAGCTCCCTATTCATTTGTTAGAAATTCTGCAAAAAGTTCTACCTCAAATTAAGTTTTTTAAATGGAACCAAAAACTCTAAGATTTTAGAATACCAGAGATGAGAATAGTCATTTGGCAGATTTTGGAACAGAACTAAGAAATTCTGAGTTTACATATTTAAATACTTAGAGGCAGAGAAACAGTTTATTTCCACACTCCTAGAGATAACTTTGAAGTTCAGTGATTTTGCCAACATTAAATGAATTATTTAGGAGAACAGAACTATTATCAAGTAGTTTAGTTGGCACTAAACAGCTTCATTTCATATACTGCTTATAGATGAAGGTGAATTCTTTGTATCAAACAAACAGAGGCGTAATGCATATTTAGGGCTAGATTATATCCTCCAAAGTACATGCAGTACAGTAGGCTATTTTTCCCCTTGCACTTCTTCATTTCCCTTAGCCATTGTAATAATTCAAGTTGTAAAATATTTTAGGAATGTGGAGGGTGGGGAGGGGGCGCTTGCACATTATACACCTCTCTCTCTGCATGTGCATCACATGTCTTAAGAGACCACACATTTAAAGAAATATAAATGAAAATATTTCTCTCTCAAAAATATCCTTTGAAAATCATAGCATTGAGTTCAGTTATGAAAATGACATGTGTTTGCCTTTGATAAGCTTCAGATCAAGGCTTTGGCTAATACCAAATCAGTAACAAACTTTACCATATCTGGATATAATCCACAGAATGAAGTATACAAAAAGAAATTAAGAGCAACATTTATGTAAGCCTTGAAAAAGTAATGTATAGATCATACCTTGAAACCAGGACTTCCAGGTAATCCATCCTTCCCATTTCTCCCAGGTTCTCCCTGTGGTAACAGTTAACTTCATATTATTCCTTGTTTTAACAACATAAAATTAAAAACACATAAATCATCCTTACAGAACTTACAGGTCGTCCATGCACCCCTGGAAAACCTGAATCACCTTTTTCTCCTTTTGCACCCTGGAAAATATAATTAAGTCAGCAACAATCATTAAGGGAAATACTATTCAAACAGTATCCAAAATAACCAATCACGCACTTAGTCTATAAGTCATACACTGTTTGCTTTCATTTCTATGAAAGATTGCTTTAGAATGATCTGTATATACATACGAGACAATATACCATATTTTGCAAAACTGAGGTGTTGCCATGCCATTTACACAGTAATAAAATAAAGAAATATAATAACAGTCCTTGAGTCAAGTAGTTAGAATTTAGACATACTAGAAAATGTAACGGGGGGCAAGAATGCATATGCATGGTCCCTAGGAGACATTAAATTTTATGGCACAATGGGATCTGATCCCCAATCCTAACAATTATGTCTCCTGCCGTGCCATATGTACATGGCAGGACACAAAAATCAGACACCAATCACTCTCCACTGGCACAGCTGGGCAGCACATGTAGAGCCCAAGATCCCAGGTTCCACGTACATTGGCAAGTTGAAAGCTGGGTAGAGGGCACCCCAAACAAGGGAATCAAATCAGCTTCCTCTGTTCTTCAATTTCAAAGCCAGGTACCTGGCAGGGCTACATACAAGGCTACTAGGTGCCCAGCTTTATATGGAGGGAGTTAATTGGCTCCCACCCACTACAAGATCTAGCCAGGCACCCAGCTTTGACACTGCCAAGTTTGGGGAGCTGATTAGCTCCTCTTAACACATGGAGAACCTCAAGCAGCCTTGGATGGATTTGGACTGCCCGAGTCCCAATGCCAACAATTAGGAGGAGGGCACCTTATCACCTGAAGGTAGGAAAGGCCCTTTTCACAATGCTTACCATCAGCTGATTGTTGGCATGGGGACTGGGCATGGTACATAAACAAATCTGAGAGGTCATAGAAACTAGCCACAAGAACATTCTAGATTATCTCTGAAAATTTGTGGCAACTGGGGGAGGTCCCAGATGATTGAAAAAGGGTAATTATAGTGCCCATCTTTAAGAAAGAGAAGAAGGATTCAGGGAACTACAGAGCAGTCAGCTGCACCTATGTCCCTGGAAAAATCATGGAGGAGGTCAAAGAATCCTCAAAGTATCCATTTCTAAGGACTTGGAGGAGAAGATGGTGATTAGGACCAGTCAGCATGGATTCACCAACGGCAAGTCATGCCTGACCAACCTGATTGCCTTCTATGATGAGATTAACTGGCTCTGTGGATGTGGAGAAAACAATGGATGTGGTATACCTTAACTTTAGCAAAGCTTTTGATACTATCCCCAACACTGTTCCTGCAAGCAAACTGAGGAAGTATGGGTTGGATCAATGGACTGTAAGGTGGATAGAAAGCTGGCTAGATTGTCAGGCTCAACAGGTAGTAATCAATGGCTCAATGTCTAACTGGCAACTGGTATCAAGTAGAGTGCCCCAGGGGTTTATCCTGGTGCCAGTTTTGTTCAATATCTTCATTAATGATCGGGAAGATAGGATGGATTACATCCTCTGCAAGTTCAAAGATGACAATAAGCTGGGGGGTATAGTACATATGCTGGAGGGTAGGCCAAGGATTAAGAGTGACCTAGAAAATTGGAAGACTGGACCAAAAAAAATCCCATGATGTTCAATAAAGACAAGTGCAGTCCTGTATTTAGGACGGAATAATCCCTTGAATTGGTACAGACTGGGGACTGACTAGCTCAAAAGCAGCTGTGCAGAAGAGGACCTAGGGGTTACGGTAGACAATAAGCTAGATATGAGTCAACAGTGTGCCCTTGTTGCCAAGAAGGCTAACAGCATACTGGGCTGCATTAGGAGGGGCTCTATTCAGCACTGGTGAGGGAACATCTGGAGTACTGTGTTCAGTTTTGGGCCCCCACTACAGAAAGGATGTGGACAAATTGGAGAGAGTCCAGAGGAGGGCAACAAAAATGGTTCAGGAGCTGGGGCACATGACCGATGAGGAGAGGCTGAGGGAACTGGGCTTATTTAAGTTGCAGAAGAGAAGACCGAGTGGGGATTTGGTAGCAGCCTTTAACTACCTAAAGGGTGGTTCCAAAGAAACTAGAGCTAGACTGTTCTCAGTGGTGACAGAACAAGGAGCAATGGTCTCAATTTACAGCAAGGGAAGTTTAGGTTGGATATTATAAAAAACTTCCTTACTAGGAGGGAGGCAAAGTATTGGAACAGGTTACCTAGAGAGGTCATGGAATCTCCATCCTTCAAAGTTTTTAAGGTCCAGCTTGACAAAGCCCTGGCTGGAATGATATATTTGGGGATGGTCCTGCTTTGAGCAAGGGGTTGGACTAGATGACCTCGTGAGGTCCCTTGCAACTATAATTTTCTATGATTTTGTGATTGTATATATGTGGAATATTTTTATCGCTAGTTTGCCATTTACTATAAAATTGGCTGAATATGTAGCATGTTGCTATGTTTGGCGTGATTAACACATTAATCATGCTATAACCATAACATCTGCCATGGGTCTATAGTATACTTGTGTTTTTATCAAGTCAATATTGCATCTTTCCCAGTGTTTCAGGTTTTGACATTTTGTTTATCCAGATATCAGCTGACAACTCTTCTTGAAGATGTCCAATTCTATTCTATTTCAATATAACAAATCACAACATGTGAGATTATTTCTTGGTAACACAATCTGTAGTTACATTCATTTGTACATGCATTTCATATGTATGTACGTATGTATGTGCATACACACATACATGTACGTACGCACATACGTACATATACATGTAGTCATTGTATTCCATTGAAAAGACAAAATTTGATGGATGAAGAGTATATGAATAAAAAGAGAGGCTCAGGCTTTATTCTGCCTACTAGACATCCAAATGCATACTAGCATGCATCTTGCCTTAGGAGAGTGAACATAATCTACCCAGGGAGTCAGATAGCTGTCTGTCTCTCTCTCACTGGGTAGCTTATGTAATTCCAAAGCACACATGCACTAAGCATACAGCCATCTACAGGCAGGCAAGAGAGAATACAAAATTCAATGCAAGTCACAAGAAGAGGAGTGAATCACACCCCTCATATGTCCAATTCAGGGCTATATGTTATGGATTGATTTCTAGCAGAAGAAATTTCTGGGAAATTTTCACCTCCAGAAATGTTTCCAGGCGAGGAAGCAGTGCAGGTGTTCAGCCTGCAACTGCTCCCTCTTCCCTGCTCTTCATGCCTCTGCAAGACTAGAGTGATCCCAATATAGGGACAGTATGGGGAGAAGTGGCTGCTCCACTTCTATTCCCAGGGAAGAGTAAAGCTGCAGGAAAAATTGATGTTTATCGTGCTGCAATCATCTGATCCCTGCAGAGTTCCTGCCTCTGGCAGGGGGGGCTGGACCCTATGATTTCACAAGGTCCCTTCCAGCCCCTAATGTCTATGAAATCTATGAAAAAGGCTCCCCACCCTTCCCACGACAGGGAACAACCAATCAGAGAGGGAAGTGGCTAGCAGAGCAAAGCCCACAGCTAGTTCACAAGATCAGGCAGTTCCCAGATGATGTACACAGCATACATGGCATTTAAAGGCTGTGGGGCCAGGAACCAGAGTGAGAAAAACCTCTGCAAGGCCACTCTGCCTTCCCCCTACTTTTTAAATCACTACCCTGCCGTCCAGCTGGGCAATGGCAGTGGCAACAGAAGTCATGGGGCTCGGGGAAGCTCTCTGCAAGCCTGCTTTTGCCCCTGCTGGGTTTTAAATCATTGTCCTGTGCCCAGCTGAGCAGTGGGAATGATAAGAGGAAGCCAGCAAGACTGGTACCTAGGTTTGGGGACACACTGCAGATCCCAGTTCCCAACTTGCCACTGCTGCCCCTGTTGCCCACCTTGCAGTCCCTGGTTTGGGGGAGAAGCAGGGAGCAGCAGTGGCTGCTTCCCTCCCCTCCCAATCTGGTCTGGGAAGGAAATAAAAAAAATTCTTTCTGGGTCCCACAAGAAACCAGCAAAAGCCTTTGGACATAGGATTACTAGACCTCTTCCACACTACAGAGCTAATTTATACCCCAATCTGGGGACCACAAACACAACTTCACATCACACACACTTAAGCTAGAGCTCCCTGTCAGATACTATTATCCACCCCTTCCAAAAACTTATTGGGAGTGTTCAAATGACCACGCATATTTGTGCTGCTGCTACTTGTCCATGGGGAACGCTCCACACATGTGCTCTGGCACTGGGCAAATTGTCCCAGATGGGGTAGGGGAGGTCAGGGCCAGCACCTTGGCTGGCCCTAGCAGCATTTCCTGGGGTCCTGGAGCTACAGCAACAGTGATCTGGGTGCATGGAGCTTGGCCAGCAGCTACAGCGTGGCTGTAGCTGACCAGGCTTCAGTTTCATGACACACACACTGCCACTATATTCCACCCCACTTTTTTGGGTGCACCTTTCTTTGTTTGTTTTTTGATACCAGCAAAGCACTTGCATGCTCATGTGGGCACGCCCATCTTATTTAAGCTTGAAGAAATTCTTTGTCCCCATTACTTTGTTTTTTGGAAGAAAACCCAACAGTTTATTTTTTCTGATAGTTAGAAATGTTCTTCTTATTTTCCATCTAAATGTATAAATAGCAAGTTTGTGGCCATGTGATCTTCAGCCTAAAATGCTCTTCACGTTCCCTTATATTCATACCATATACATACTTGTAAAGAGTGATCATATCCCCTCTCAATCTCCATTTAGCTGAACTAAATAAGTCAAGCTTCTTTAATATTCTATTATAAAAAAGATATTAATTCCCTATCTTAGTGACCTTAGTAGTTAGGTCACTCACCTAAGAGGCTGGAAACTTGGGCTCTAGGCCTTGCTCAGCCTGAAAAGATTTGAGCCTCTCTCTCCCTTTTCTTAGGAAGTGAGTTAACCACTAGCCTAGGCAGGAAGGCCTGGGAGCATCCTCTCTATTCTTTCTGTTGAAACTGGGCAATGGGGTAAACAGAAATGAAAGGAGTGAATGCAAAAAACCTCAACTGCAGCTGAGTGATGAGAACTCAGAGGAGAACCTCTCCGAGGTGCCCAGGACCCAAGATAAAGCTGCTGGGGTCAGCCTGGTGCTAGTCTCAGCATCTACTACCTCACCTGAGGTAACCTGCCACATGCCAGAGGGCATGTGGCACAGGTGTTCCCTGGGGACACCTAGCAGCAGCACTAGGTATCCTGCTGCTAGTTGTCTCCAGGGAACCAACTGTCTACACTTGTGTGGACAGGGCCAATGGGTTCACTGTTTTAGTATGCCTTTGTTAGGAGCAGAGGCTAAGATGATGTTTATGCATTTTATATTAAATGTAAAAGAACACCATACATAAGAAGCATGATGTCATAACCCAGGCTTCTTTTCTTCTCAGCCAGTCTCTAGTTTTGAGTGGCGCGCACTGTCCCCACATACACTGTGCTGCTTTTTTTTTTTTGTGCAGGGTTTTTGACCACTGGCTATTCAGGGGTCAAAAAACCCCCAAACCACCGCACTGCTCCCTTGTAGTGCGGAGAACAGCTGAACGTGTGATATGTGGCACCACAGACATGTCTGCATTGCCACATACCACACGGCCATGCTCATCTGGATGTGGCCATTGATGGTTTATCATGGACTTCAGCAGGGTGAAATAAGATTGTACTTATATTTGATGGCACATTGGGCAACTTAGATGCACTGTATATAGGTGAAAATGTCTGCATGAGCAAGGACCGAAGGATTCACACTTGTATAAATAAAAGCTATTTCAAAATTTCAGTGTATCAGTACAATGCTTGTAATTTCATCTGTCTTTAATTTAAACTTGCCTTTTTTCCATAAACTCCTGGTGGTCCTTGATCTCCTTTAGGGCCCTTCTCACCCTAAATCAAAATACATATAAAGAAGTTATTTTACTTTTATAAATGGAGTCAATTAATTATACACCATTATAAACATTAAGTATTCCAACTGACTGACTGACTGATGGAAATGCATCACATATCGACATAGGCAGACAAGATTCTTTGGGTAAATCCGGTATCTTTTATTAGACCAACTAAAATACTTGGAAAATGTATCTTTTGCAAGCTTTTGGGTACAAACATATCAACTCGTGGCAGACTATTGCCCAGGACTACCCCAAATGGGGGAAGTCTGCTGCAAGGATCTCAGTACTTTGAAATCCTACAATAACAATATACATATAAAAAAGGTGGGAGAGGCAGAAACAGTTTGTTGCAGACTGAATCAAGAATCCGGAGCCACCCCCCGCACATGAAAATGCATGCCCCAGTTGCAACAGTCTGTTGGTTCCAGATTGGCCTCATCAGCCATCTTTGAACACAGAGATGAGACAATCATGGCAGGCAATCAACCTCAATTGTGAGGAGTTGCTGAAGATAAAGATAAGGCATATAAAACAGAATCATATTCCTTAGGTTGGAACAATAGTTTAACTCACATTTGCTATTGAGTACATTTGATATAGTACTCAAACTTGCTATATCAGAAAATAATAATATTCTGTGAACAGGGAAGTTAACTAATTCCACAATATGAACTGAAGCATTCGATTTTATGGTGGAAGCAAGGAACAGAGTAGCCAAATACAAGGAAACTCAGTGTATAAAGTTATATCGCAAATACATAGCACAGATACAACTGAACAGATTACTATCTTAAATATAGAGTCAGATCAAGAGATACAGTTGAGAATAAACTAAATACAGACTTCACAGTACGAACTCTCACAAGCAAAGAGCACAACTGTGCAAGTTAATGAATGCGTTGATGGAGAGGTACCTCTGAGGAAAAAAAAGAAAATGTTTGCTACCTCTTAAGAAATACTCATCAACTTGAAGGCCTCACGCCTTTGTTTTCAATGGAAGCCCCACTTCCATAAGTGCCTAAATGGAAGTTTAGCTCTTTGAAAATGTAACCCCTATCGTGGGCTGTATATTTTTGAAAACCCGAGTTAAATATATACATTAGGAAGAACTTAAGAAATAAAAATCAATAAGGCAATTAATAAATTGGAGATGTAATTGAGGGATCTACTCTTCGTTATTCAAGAATGTATTAGATAGGACATATATAGGATTAGCATAGCAAAGTCCTTCAAGAACTTGAGGGTCACACTGGAGTATGCAAATGCAATATAAAGAATGCAAAATGCAGTGTAATGCAGTGCAAAATGCAATATAATGATTCCATTATTCTGACATATTATTTACAAAGAAAGCTATAATGAAAATGTAAAGCTATTCAATATAGATTCTGATTTAAAGCTCAAAGGAATCAATGGAAGTTTTTATGTTAAGTTCATGGGTTGTGATAAGGACCATAATGTGCGCCATCCACACAATTCCCATAATCACAACAGATCATCTCCAATATTAGTCTTACTTATTGTGTGTTTATATATACACTTAAAGGCATTTATACACATCTTATTAAAATTTTATCATTAGCTGTTAGAAAGTAGCTATTGAACAATCCCTACTTCATGGGTAATATTAAAAGAAACATTTAGTTTCAACCTTTGGTGCTGGCATCCCATGTAATCCAGGAAAACCAGGAAGTCCACGTTCACCCTAGAACAACAAATATATTATATATCCTTACATCTAATAATATATTAAAATAACAACCCATTCGTAAACAAAATGTCATTAACAAATAATCAAAGACCTGAAATAAACCAGCTCAGCTGAATCTCACTGAAGACAGCCCAAAGAGGCACGTTGACTTCAGTAGGCTATGGATAAAAGACACACTGCTAGCAGTGGAAATATCAAGGGTATTTGAGAATTTCTAATAAAAATTTTACTGTACTTTCCAATCAAGATCACCCTACATTAGCTACAACAAAAAGACTGAGAGGCATTTGGTGAAATCTGGCACTCTGTATAATTACAAAACAGATAATATAATGCAGTGGTTCTCAAACTGTGGGTTGTGAACCCCCAGGGGTCACAAGCATTTCAAAAGGAGGTCACAAACTTCTCTTACCTCCCCAACATGCAAACGCTCTGCCTGCTTCCCTCCCCCAGCAATGACGCACATGTTCTTGGACTCGCCCACATTGGATGCGTCTCCTTTGTTTTCTAATTTGGGGGTATATGGGTTAGTTAAGATGAGTATTTAACTGTCAACAGTTCGACTGACTGCATGCGACTGAGTGCAAGATTTCCCTTCACACAAGTAGGATGTTGTGAATCGGGGTTTTCAGCAGTTGTCACTATAAAGAGCAAAAATAAATGGGAAGCACAAAATGAGACTGGCAGTCTTGAAAATAAAGCCCAGGTTTGAAAAACTAAGCCGTACCAAGCACGCTCATCCTTCTCAGTAAAAATTATTGACAGTTTTAAATTTGACTTCTTTTTTTTCAGTGAAACATTTCTAAATTTGATAACTTTATAAAGTGTTTTTTGACAAATATATTTCATTTACTATACAAAAGGTAAATGTGCTTTATTTATCTCCTACCTAAATCCTAATGAAATCAATAGCTTTAATAATGGGGGGTCGCATAAATTTATATATATTATTTTACGGGGTCGCAGTATCACAAAATATGAGAACCCCTGATATAAAATGTCCTAACGAAGGGATACTTTCACAACATGTTTCCTTGAATCTTTCAAAAGTTGGCTATCCATTTTTTCTGTTCATTCATCCAATCCACTTCATCCCATTACATTGGAAGAGAATGTGTTAGTATTTAAAATATTTTAAAGCAGTAAAATTTACAGCATAATTTAAAACAGTTAGAATAAATAGGTTTTTTTCTCCATAAGAAAAACATCTTGATGAATACAGTTGGCAAAAAAGGACACTTTAAAAAATCCTCCCACATTTCTGTCAGGGAATTTCATTAGCATAGCTTTGTTTATATTCTTGGCCTTCCTAGTCTCATTACAATTGCCAGATGTCAGGATTCCCTAAGTTTTTGTCATTGATTATGAAGCTCTTTACTTGATGATTTATTATGAAAATTTCTTGAACAATTTCAAGGGAAGGCTTAATTAAAACTTCCATCTACCTGACTAAACCAGAAAAACTGTTAGTTTGCTTTGGTAGATAGATTTTAATTTAAAAATCAGGCAAGACATTTGTTTACCATGTATTTTCTGGTTAACATATCTTCTCTCTACTCAGATGCACTATTTAAAATTTTATTCAGACAAAAAAACCCAGAAAACTGGTTTACATTATATATATACTGAGTAACATAGGGTGCCTACAGACATTTAGGCAGCCCATCAGAGACACTTTCTAACTCATGGCATTTTACACAAAGCACCATGAGTTAGAGCACCATTGACCCCAACAAGCATTCACCTGCTGGGTAAGGGGGAGCCGGAGGAGGGGGGAAGGAG